TTCCCCCCGGTGAATGTTCTGCTAGCAATTTTGTTACAGATTTGAGAAGACAGAGGAGTTCCAGAACATTTATTGGTGATGAGGTATAGAGGGAGTGGTGTGATTGACTACCTCCAGATACTAGAATTGAGTTATCAGTGCTAGCAATTAGAATAGTCTTGGACCAAATCTTTCTCTTATATACCAGTGTAACCCATTCAATTAATGGACTTGGAAAGGTGTATATGAGAAGAGTATTGGATCTCTTCTCTTGACTGGAAACTGAGCAGATTTCGCACAGACTGGCAGAAGAGAGTGAAAATTAAGGGTTTTGGTATTGCTGATCACTGTTTTTTCTCCAGAAGGATAAATAGGGATCTAATACTGTAAGATGAACATTATTTTTTTTCATTTTTTTGTTTTAGAGAAACTGTGATACACAAGATAACCAACTGCTGCAGAAGAACATCAAATGTTTCCTATAAATATACAAAGGTAATTGTACTACTTATAGTTGTGATGACCTCTGAGGGTCTGTTTTTTAAATGATTTTCCAAACTAGTACTATAGCTGCTTCTATTCACAATTACTTTAAATGAATTTAAACTTACTCTTTTTGACTATCGGCGAGCTGGTTGGCTGGCTGAGACTAAATCTGAAAGTAGATGGAGGGAAAGAACAGAACAGTTTCTGTCCTCACAGATGGGAGGATAGGAGAATGAGGAGGATTAAGGGAAATGCTGTGGAGTGATCAACAAATAGGAGGCAAACTGGGAAAGCACAGAGCCAGAGAAGATGAGAATAATGTGGAATAGTGCTCAGAATGTAAAAGGCAGCATAGAGAGATCAAAGTATTAGTGCACTAACACCGTATTTTGTGCTATCTGCTTATCAGTGGAAAATGGTAAATCAAAGTGCGGGATGGGGCTGTTAGTGGTTCTCAGGTGATGGATTTCAGGAGACCATAAAGGGTGCTTGTGAGAGCCTATCCAATATTCAGTAACTTTACCATCTTCATACTGTAGATAAACACTGAAGAAGAAGCTAATGAGAATGAAACTGAGTGGCTTATGGAGGAAATTGCAGCACCAAATCAGAGATCAGGAAAAGGAGGACAAGAAAATGGTCACATCACTACCACATCTGTTAAATCAGAAGCCTTGACATCTCTCCGGGTGGATGACCTGGACAGTGAGGATGAAGTTCTAACTGTCCCAGATGTGAGGATTCATTCAACTAGAGGGGTGCAATCCAGAGGCTCAGACCAGAACAGGCACCAGCAAAAGAAGCCATTTAGCTTGGGAAGTGATGCCAAGACCAACTTGCTGAATGGAGGAAAGGAAAGAAAAACAAAACCTAACCCAGGCCAACAGAAGACACAGAATTCTACGAATACCCTATCGTTTCACGATGATAGTGATGAGGACTTGTTGAATGTTTAAATAGCCCCTCTTGTGCCTAATTAAATAAATATAGATATATAGATATATATATATATATAGTGGGACAACAAAACACTTCCAACCAAATATGAAGACTTTAGCCTGAGATTTCTTCTGGATTTTGCCTTTGACAAGAAAACATTCAAAAGGGAAGAAAAAAAGGATCAATCCTGGTTGTTTACAATGATCTGTTCAGTAATGACTGGACTTCCAGCATCCAGTTGGCTGAGTTATGTTGGTTCTCTCTCTCTCTCTCTCTCTCTCTCTCT